AAAACGAGGTGAACTTATTTTGGTAACCACCCCAGACGCGTGCCAAAGACAGCAGTTTAAGCGACTTAAATGAATATTCCGAAATCCCCGAACCATTAACGCATAAATTATGCGTGTTACAAACCAGACCGAAGGTGGCGCACATTTCATTTTGGCCCACATTCCCCACACTATCGCGTATGAAAAACTCTCTAATGAAAAAGTTCAATTATATAGCAAACCCAAGTGCAAACATGAATTGTTAGTAAACATAGGAAAATACTATTCAATTAAGAAAATTATATAGTTTAACAATGTTGCTGTCTTCGTTTTACTGTGCGCTGGTATGTCTATCACAGGATGACAGGTTAATTATTAAATCACAAAGATAGTTTACTTGTCAGAGTGAAAGCATAGCAAGATTTAACGACAAAACATGAATAATGGAAAAAGTGTGAGCACTCCAACTCTTCCTGGGAGAGGAGGTTAAAATGTGGCCAAAAACTTACAGCAGACGCGTTAGTAGATCCTGGAGTAACTAGGACGAGCTCATTATCCTCATTGATTGCAAGGAGAAGTGAGAGTCTTTGGCCGGAATTTTGGGGAGGAACTTCTACTGTCGATTCCGCGTCCATGGATCGCCAGCCACGGCCACGCCGGTACCGTGACTGCTGCTGTGACGATGACTGCTTCTTGACATGCTTGATGGGTCGCTGCCTCGGTGTCTCGTAGGGCGGAAGTTGATGTCCGGTCTGTAGACGACTGTCCACACTCTGAGTGCGTCGAGGTGGCCGCCGCTGCGGTCGTTTCAGTCGAAGGCGTCGGGCGTCTAGAGACCCTTGACCTGAGGAAGTATGGTGTTCATCCTCCATCTCTATATCATCTGCTTTCTCTATCAAGTCCTAAAATGTCAAAGGGAGAAATAACCTCGGTTGAAAATGCGTAAGTACAAAACAAGGCTTCCAACCAGTAGGCCTGTGCTCTACACAAGATTCACTGAGAACCACGTCGACCGCCAATAGTTGACAATGCCTCAATTCTAATAAAAGTAGTGCTTAAAGGAAGAGTCAGTCATATGTTAAACTTAAGGCTTCTCTACGCAGAGTCCCATTCACACATAGTCAGCTGCAAAGCAGATACTCGTACGGATAAGACGCTTCCATAAAAAAACCAGTTCAGAGCACTAGACAGGCTTAAGTTAAGAGATAGCCAGTTAGAACAGGAAAAGTTACACAGCAATAACCAAAATTGGCTCTTGAGGCAAGACACCATGCTAGAGAATTGAGTTTTGAATTATAAAACATCTCTTCTATTTGCTAAGTCACGATGTGCCTTTCGACTCACTTTAAAACCTTCAAAAAATTCAGTTGACTGTTACCTCGTCACCACAGTGCAGAATCTCCTCAACTGGTCGCTGATGCACTGCCGCACCTGGCAGCGATGAAATTGAGGGTGAACGGAGAAGTTCTGCTCCGGTTAAAGTCACCGGACCTTCATCACCTTTCTCTCCACATCCATTCACTCCTCTACCCCTCTTCCTGTTTCTTCTACGTCCACAGGCAATTGACGTCACAAATATAACAATTAACAGTGTGATAAGGATTATCAGTAGACAGGCAAAAAAGAAGGCTCCAGTGAGAAGAGGGTGATAGGTTGAGGAGGAGGGAGGAGTCGAGTCACTGTGAGACGGTGAGAGCAGTAGAACCGATGGTGTAGGTTGGGCCAGATTTAGGGTGTTATTTGGTGGCCAGGAAAGACTGGGGTTCGTTGAGGCGAGGCACCGAGTAACCCGTAAACTGTCCATACATACACCGGCGTGACCATAGAGAGCAAAGTGAAGAGGAGACTCGGGAAGAAGTTGCGTATCAAGTGGGAGAATGAGATGCAACCACCGATTTATTGGTGGAGTGACGTGGGGCAACTGGCGTTGATGAGCAGAGGTGCTTGAAGGTTTCCATAGGATCCAACTTGCCAGACTTGTGAGGAAAGCGATCTTTTGTTCGACTGACGGCATGAGAGTTGAGACCGGTTCAGAAAGAGAAGAGGGAGAAGGAAGAATAGGCGTTGGAGAGGCCTCAATAGTCTGAACCATAGAACGAAATTTAACAGTGAGTTTGGAAGGGCCGTCAATGTGTTCAGAGGAGAGACGGATATCCATTTCGAGGCAAAGACCCAAATTTTTATCCTTTTTCTCTTCCATATCCTCTTCTTCATTCACCACCTTTTCTACATTTGAAGGTGACTCTAATGGATCTGTTCCAACATAGAAAACCTTTCCACTGATTTGGCGCAAGGGACGAGGCGAAGGAGGAAGAATAAAGGTTTCCAGCACTGCAACGCGTTCCGTAGAGCCGCTTGAGGGAGGCAGAGAAGAGGACGCGCTTCTTTGACTCGTCACACCCCAATCTGCGCATACAAAGTAGTTCTGAACTGGAGGTATCAGTGAAACGTTGCCGCTTGTCTAGAATACAAGAATGACATAGAGAAAAGCGGTCCGCGACGGTAATTAAAGGGGAATACAACTATCACGAGAGGAGATTTAGCGGGCATTAGTGTAGCCAATTATGCATTATATTGTCGCATACACGCGGTAATTCGCCTCACAACTGTAAGCGGTGTGAATGAGGCTGTCTTGACCAGCATAAAGGAAATGGCTAAGCTTTCAATCAGACAGAGCATTCAACGTTTATTTGAATGAAACGCATTCCCAATAATGCCTTGTTCAAAAAAAAAAACATCGGTTAAAATTGCTCTCAAGTTAATGGAACACTGACACACAATGTAGCATTGTAATGGTTGTGACCAGAAAGACTCATTCCTGCTTCAATAAACTCAGCGCAGGGAGGGTAGAGCTAAGTCATTTCAAGCAATATGTGACTGACGTATCGTCAGCCGAATGAATCACACTGAAAACGACACAACTTCAATGATGGATTCTTGATTTTCATAGACAGCTAAGTGGTATTAAACACTCTCAATGTGGTGCTCAAAGCGCAATATAGTAAGGAGGTTTCCTTTTACAACTTGATCCTGTCACTAATTTTAAACTACCACCTTGTGAAAACATGATTTTCTTGAGAGTAGTATGAAAAATCTACGTTTCTGACAGACATGGAATAGATGGCTAAAACATAAGTATACCTTATAAATCCATATTCTTCTACCATTACTAACATTGAAGGCTTTACATTCGAAACGGTGAAAGGTGTGAACGCAGAGTCAAGGCTAATTCCATGCCATTTTCGTGATAACTCGAGAACCGGGAGTAGTTTGTTATTCAAGAGGAGGGTGAGAAAGCCATGGCCGGGGCCGGTAAATCTACTTGAGGACGTACCAAAGCCAGCAACCACGACTTACGTCAGTGTGAGGCTGATTGGCCATACGAAGTGGCCGTCTCACTATCACTAGTCATTGGTCGATGGCGTTGCGCCCGTAATCAAGTTCTCCAGGCTATGACGGAAGCTACAACTACTAACAATCGTGGACCGACTTCTCAAGGCTTTAACGTGGAGCAGAAAATCGAGGCATAGGCTCTTTACTACTTAACAAAAAGCATTACTACTGGTAGCACTTTTACTGGTCTCTCGAGCAGTTAACCCAGAACAAATGAAAGAAGACAGTAAAAATTAAAACAAGGGGAATAAGGCATGGCAATGGTAAGCGTCGGACGTACAAATACCATCAAAAAGGGAAGTGTCTGAGAAAACCAGATGACCACTGTGCTGAGGGAGCTTCATCAAGAGTGAGGTCAAGAAGACAATTTCGGGTTTTACAACACCATATCCGGCTAAATTTGCTCCGACGGGTTTCACACCAATGAACCCTTGAAAGGGGTTTGAGAATTGGCAAAATATGCGACTAGTGGGAAGAATCGAATGGGAATAAGAATGCTCAAAACACATTTTCGATGCATAAAGTGGGTAAACGACGTCTGCAGTGCGTAAAAGAGACTATGGAAACTAAAAATGAAGGATCTGTGCAAAAATCACCGATGTTCTACTACTGCATGATCTGTGATGAAGGGAGACCCACAGTGTTCGAACAGCCTATCCTAAGAATGCAAAAGGCTAGATGGTGTTAAATAGAAGCCGCATAAAAAATATCTCCCCGCCGGAATCATTAAAGAGAGCATACCTAGTGATAACGACACAGAAGGCCTAAAAGAAACCGAGACCAATAAAAATGGTTCCAGACATCGTCTAGAAACGGCACTCAACCTCCAAGGAAGTGGAAGGAATGCCAGAACTTATCCTAAGGGCAAAGATTTACCACAAAGCACTTTAAGTGATGAGGAAAAAGATAAGCCGATTGCCGTGCTAAAAGCGAAACCCGGTATAGGCGAATGGTTTTATGAAAGCCCATAACAGAATTGTGAAATAAACAAACCCACCATGGAGTCACGATATTCTAAAGTGCATAAAATTTGAATGCCTGAGAGTGGACAGAAAAAAGGATTAGATCATGCACTTTAACAGCTTTGTGACAGAAGATTTAATGAAAAAACTTGGTAGCTTTCAAATGGACCACCTTACCAAGGAAAGAATCAAATATGCGATTCCATAGTTGCAATTGAGTAATGCAAAAATAGTTATTCCAATGCTACTAGAGGAGGATTGGTGAAAGGTGATTTAGATCTGAAGGTCCGACTTGTCCTTTACTGTAGCCTGGAGAGAAAACTGGGTGGTCTCAGAAAGTGTAGGGACACAGAATTGGGAGAGGGGCTGAGTGATAGGCGTAATGAGTTTGAAAATGCCAAAAGCTACTACCGCATTTGTGTTACTGCAGACTAGGCGGATGTCAAACGAAAACAACGCTGAAGAAGGCGTGTGTATGTGTGTGAAGACCCACAATAGGATTGTTAAAAACGCGTCAACAATTTTGACGATCCACTCTTAAGCTATGATAAAATGCCAACAGAATTGCAATAGTAGGGGGTGAATAATTGTAAGAAACCCTGATAATTGACAAATGTTCCAAGGCAAGGCAGCTGGTAAAAGGCATCTTTCAGGCATTGTTAGCATTTGCCATTCGCATGACAAAGACTCGTAAAAGAGAGTCTTTCCACTCCATACAATTTTATTGGGTAGTTGTTATGCTGGTCTAGTGAGCGGTTACAAGACACTCGACTACCGCCAGTGTAGTTATAAACGTTTGACACGCCATGGAAAAGGCGACAGCGATGTGTAATGCGATGGTAGTTTCTTCGCTCAAGCGAACTTTTAGCACTCACCTCGGTTGCAGTCACTATCGTCTCACATGCTGGCAATCAAGGAGCCAGAGGTTATGCAATTGAGATTTAGAAGTAGCCATGTCTGCTAATATAACTAATGATAACCTAAGCGGACTGTTGACTCTGCTTTTGAAACACTTTAAGCATATCCACAAAACATAGGCGCACTTCCTTCTGCACAAACAATCCACTTCCGCCTTCAAAAAGAAACACAAAGCAGACTATGCAACTAAGGTGGCCTTCAGTACAAGCCTTCCATCTCAGAACGGGAAGCACAACAAAATGTGTCTTATTTTTAAACTTTTCATACACCATGCACAAATATTCCAATCCCAATATTAAGATATTCTAAAAGGCCTAGTAGAACTAAAAGTGCTGCAACTTCTACTCCAACTAGCACGAAAAAGCAGCCACTATCAAGCATCCCCTTTGACAGCGCGACAAAGCCACATGACAAGATTCACAGCTGCAATGCATAAAGAACACTTAAAAATGCATTGAACTGTA